CATATATTTGTAAATGCATTTCAAAAATGTAGATTTGCATTTGTAAAGACAGTATATTTGAAATGTATTTTTAATAATATTTTTCATATATTTCGTAATAAAAACGCATTTCAACATACAGTGTATATATATATATTGAATATGGCCAAAATGGTAGTATTTCCAATATATGTCAAAATATTTGGGAAGAATATTTTTTAAAATATATTTCAAATATATTTTTCTTGCAAATGGGTAATACAGTCTGGTCACTTTCCCACCCCCAAATCCGTGATTGGACAATGACTTGGTCAAATTAATTTCAGGATGCGATTTCTGGGCAAATGAGTGGATATCAGAAAAATCTCTAAACACTGGTACCATGTGCCTCCAGTGGGGCATATACTAGCAAAAGCGGAGGAAAATAAAACATAAGGTATAGTCCTTGGAACTTACTAGACTTCCACTCGTTTTCATCATCTATAGTTGAAAACCACATTTAGGTTTCATTCATTCATAAAGCCTTTTTGTAGAAACACGTTCTGCCATATTTACCGCAATACAGAACATTCATAGCCAAAGTTCATTGAGCTCCAGGTGTTTGATGACATCCAAGGACCAGAGTCCAATTGAATCCAAAGCCCTTGCAACATAGTGATCAAAGTTTAACCACTTGTCATTCTTAGGCTGGTTTAAAACACCCTTTACTTCAAAAAGTTGAAGAGGGCATAACAATGAAGAGGGCACAATGACCAACAATGAAGGGGGCAAATAACCACCAATGAAGGGGGCACAATGACCAACAATGAAGGGGGCAAATAACCACCAATGAAGGGGGCACAATGACCAACAATGAAAGGGGCACAGTAATCGACAATGAAGGGTGCACAGTAACCACCTACAAAGGGGTCACAATGACCAACAATGAAGGGTGTGAAGTACCCATCAATGAAGAGGGCATAATGACCAACAATGAAGGGGCAAAGTAAGCACCATTGAAGGGGGCACAATGACCAACAATGAATGGGGTGAAGTACCCATCAATGAAGGGGGCACAATGACCAACAATGAAGGAGGCAAAATAACCACCAATGAATGGGCACAATGACCAACCATGAAGGAGGCACAATGCTCAACAATGAAGGGGGCAAAATAACCACCAATGAAGGGGGCAAAGTAACTACCAATGAAGAGGGCATAATAATCATCAATAAAATGGGACACAGTAACCAACAATGAAGTGGGCACAGTAACTGACAACGAAGGGTGCACAGTAACCACCTATGAAAGGGTCACAATGACCAACAATGAAGGGGGGTGAAGTACCCACCAATAAAGGGGCACAATGAAGGGGGTGAACTACCCATCAATGAAGGGGGCACAACGACCAACAAAGAAGGAGGCACAGTAACTAACAATGAAGGTGGCACAGTAATCACCAATGAAAGGGGCACAATGACCAACAACAAGGGAGGCAAAGTAACCACAAATGAAGGGAAACAGTAATGAAGGGGGCACAGTAAGCACCAATAAAGTGGGTAAAGTAACCAACAAAGAAGGGACACAGTTAGGGGTGGACGGACCATTTGGATACTCGGGCACTGCCCGAGGGCCCGGGGTCAGTAGGGGGCCCCATGAGATGCCCCTGGTACCTTTTTCATAGGCTTTTTTGAGTTTAGGCAAGGACACAGGGGTCCCATGATCCCCTTTTGCCCGGGGGCCCCATGAGTTGTCAGTCCGCCCCTGGACACAGCAACCACCAATGAAGGAAACAGTAACCATCAACAACAAGGGCACAATAACCACCAATGAAGAGGGTGCAGTAGCCACCAATAAAGAGGAAACAGTAACCACCAATAAATTTAGTACAGTAACTATCAATGATACGGTAAGAGTAATCTCTAATGAAGGGACACAGTAACCACCAATAAAGAGGGATAGTAATCACCAATAAAATGGAGCACAGTAACCAGCAATGAAAGGGACACAGTAACCAGCAATGAAGGGACACGGTAACAACAAATAAAGGGGGCACAGTAACTATCAATGAAGGAATCAGTAAACACCAATAAAGAGGACACAGTAACCAGAAATGAAGGGACACAGTAACCACCAATGAATGGGGCATATTAAGTACCTATGAAGAGGGCACCACCAATAAACTGGGTATGATTACCACCAATAAAGGGGACAGAGTAACTACCAATGAAAGGGGTATAATAACCATCATTAAAGGGAGCACAGTAAGCAATAATGAGGGCGCACACTGGCCACTAGTGGTTAAATATGTTATTGTCTGATTTAAATCAATTATTTACATTCAAACATCATAGGTAATAGGCTATATACATTTTTTGTCCCATTTGCACACAACAAATGTGCATTATTATTATACTGGATTTATATAGTGCCAACAGTTTGCACAGCATTTTACAACATGGAGGGCAGACACTACAATTGCAATACAATTTAATACAGTAGGAAACAGAGAGCCCTGTTCGTTAGAGCTTACAATCTAGAAGGGAGGGTGAAAGGCTTATAAATCAACTCTATGCCAGTGCAAGTCCAGTGTTCTTGATATTTCTAATTACTAGGAACTCAAAAGGTACATGCACCTAACGTTCCATCCCCAAATGCTGGGCAGTTCTGATCAGGCAAAGCTCTGACAATGCTGATAATATAGAAGGCTAGTCAGACCCTCCCACCTCCCACAGATTTTTACTGGTCTGTCACTGTGTCAATAAAATTGGGTGGGAGGAGGGAGGCAAGACTGACATTTGGAAACTCGGGCACTGCCCGAGGGCCCGGGTCTGTAGGGGGCCCCATGAGATGCCCCTGGTACCTTTTTCATAAGCTTTTTTGAGTTTGGGCAAGGACACAGCAGCCCCATGATCCCCTATTGCCCAGGGGCCCCATGAGTTGTCAGTCCACCCCTGCTCCTGGCTTAGCCCTCTATGCCATACTATTGTGTTCAAAATAATAGTGTGCTGAAAAAAAGTGAATAAAGCTCAAAATCCTTCTAATAGCTTTTATTTCCATCCACACAAATGCATTGGGAACACGACACATTCTATTCCAAATCAAAACATGAAGAAAAATAGATCAAAAATAGATCAACTTTGTGCTGTTCCTCTAAAAAAAAATTGAAGAAAAGTGAATAATAGATGGGTTCAAAAAAATCGCAGTGTTTGTATTCTTCTTTACAAACTCAAATATTCACTATATAAACTGAAGAATGTTTGAAGATTTTGCTTTCCTTTGAATGACTTCATGAATATTTGGTTGTAGTCGCACTGTTTCTGAGAACTGCTGTACATCTGTGTTGCATGGAGTCACCCAACTTCTGGCCCCTGTGATCAGGTATTCCAGCCCAGGATGATTGGACGACATTCCACAGTTCTTCTCTATTTCTTGGTTTTGCCTCAGAAACAGCATTTTTGATGTCACCCCACAAGTTTTCTATTGGATTAAGATCCGGGGATTGGGCTGGCCACTCCATAACGTCCATCTTGTTGGTCTGGAACCAAGATGTTGCACGTTTACTGGTGTGTTTGGGGTCGTTGTCTTGTTGGAACACCCATTTCAAGGGCATTTCCTCTTCAGCATAAGGCAGCATGACCTCTTTAAGTATTCTGATGTATTCAAACTGATCCATGATCCCTGGTATGCGATAAATAGGCCCAACACCGTAGTATGAGAAACATCCCCATATCATGATGCTTGCACCACCATGCTTCACTGTCTTCACAGTGTACTGTGGCTTGAATTCAGTGTTTGGGGGTCGTCTGACAAACTGTCTCCGGCCACTAGACCCAAAAAGAACAATCTTACTTTCATCAGTCCACAAAATGTTGGGCCATTTCTCTTTAGGCCAGTCAATGTTCTCTTTGGCAAATTGTAACCTCTTCAGCATGTCTTTTTTTCCAACAGTGGGACTTTTGCGGGGGCTTCTTGCAGATAGCTTGGCTTCACATAGGCGTCTTCTAATTGTAACAGTCCTCACAGGGAACGTCACACCTTCTTTCATCTTCCTGGAGCTGATTGTTGGCTGAGTCCGCGCCATTTTGGCTATTCTTCTATCCATTCCAATGGTAGTTTTTTGCTTTCTTCCACGTCTTTTAGGTTTTGGTTGCCATTTTAAAGCATTTGCGATCATTTTAGCTGAGCAGCCGATCATTTTCTGTACTTCTTTATATGTTTTCCCCTCTCCAATCAACTTTTTAATCAAGGTACGCTGTTCTTCTGAACGATGTCTGGAACGACCCATTTTCCTCAGAATTTCTGAGAGAAATGCACTGTAACCAGCATATACAACATTTGCTGCCTTCCTTCCTTAAATAAGGGCAATAATTGCCACCTGTTTTTCAAAGAATGAATGACCTCACTAGTAGAACTCCACACTGCTATTATTTTGAACACGCCCCTTTCAATGAGTGATTCAATGACACAGAATCAGCAGCATGCATGTCATGACTGTTGGGTCTGTTGGATTTCTATTACTCTACTACACACCTGCTAGTAAATTATTTGCCATGTAGAAATATCATTTCTACCAAAAACAGTGATTGATCCGGTTAGTGATGTCTGACTGCTATTAATTTTGAACACAACTGTATGTAATGCACATCACATTAGACAGATGTAATATCATCAAATGTTCCTGTACAATTAAGAATGGTCAACGCACCTTGCCTATACATACGACTTCTTCAGGACCGTAAATTCTTTGTGGTGTGAGACGGTATTAACAAATGTGGCGGTGTCAAGTAAAATCCAGTCTAGGGAGAGGACATAGGGGACTCAAGTGTGCCTAAAAAAAATCCGCTATCTTGGCCATACAAATATTGTCCAATATTTTGCACTATACATTGGATGTGGCATTAGGAAGCTTATATATTTGTGCCTTTTCCAATTTATTTTTTTAAGTGCAAGGCAGTGCACATCAATGCAACACATTACTACTCCGATTAAAATGCGTTACATTTTTTTTTTTACAATGTGTAAGCACTGGCATGCATCAGACACTGCATTCCAGCACATTTGGTGTGAATCAGGGGCAGACTGACAACTCATGGGGCCCCTGGGCAATAAGGGATCATGGGGCCCCTGTGTCCTTGCCCAAACTCAAAAATGCCTATGAAAAAGGTACCAGGGGCATCTCATGGGGCCCCCTACTGACCCCGGGCCCTCGGGCAGTGCCCGAGTTTCCAAATGGTCAGTCCGCCCCTGGTGTGAATAGACTCTTAAGAAGGAAAACAGAGCAAGGCATATATACTTTTGGGATGAAATGTCTTTCAAAATGTGCAACACTAATTAATACATACAAACTCATTTTGAAAGAATAAATAAAAAAAACAAAACAAAACAATAAAAATGAAATAATGAATGCAGATGCCATAGTACTCACAGTGTTTGGCTGTAGGAGGATCCAGCTAGATAACCCAACAATATGAGACACAGAGTTCTGTACCCCATGGTGTCCCCCAGAGACTATGAGCTGCCTGGGTGATCGGGAGGGTTATAAAGTGTAAGGTTAGAGTCCCACATTAACAATTCTTAAAAACAGTGTCTAGTGAATAGGATTACCAAGGTCTGCAAACAAAGATGTGTTCTTTATGTACATTGCAAAATCCCTTTCCATGGTATTTACTGCTGACAAATAGAACAGAAGGGAGAATCTAAGGGTCAGGGATTCCTGCTGCAACAGCACTTCCCGTAAATCATGATATACAGGTGAAACTCAAAAAAATTAGAATATCGTGCAAAAGTTCATTTATTTCAGTAATGCAACTTAAAAGGTGAAACTAATATATGAGATAGACTCATTACATGCAAAGCAAGATAGTTCAAGCCGTGATTTGTCAACATTGTGATGATTATGGCTTACAGCTCATGAAAACCCCAAATCCACAATCTCAGAAAATGAGAATATTGTGAAAAGGTGCAATATTCTCGGCTCAAAGTGTCCCACTCTAATCAGCTAATTAAGCCATAACACCTGCAAAGGGTTCCTGAGCCTTTAAATGGTCTCTCAGTCTGGTTCAGTAGGAATCACAATCATGGGAAAGACTGCTGACCTGACAGTTGTGCAGAAAACCATCATTGACACCCTCCATAAGGAGGGAAAGCCTCAAAAGGTAATTGCAAAAGAAGTTGGATGTTCCCAAAGTGCTGTATCAAAGCACATTAATAGAAAGTTATGTGGAAGGGAAAAGTGTGGAAGAAAAAGGTGCACAAGCAGCAGGGATGACCGCAGACTGGAGAGGGATTGTCAGGAAAAGGCCATTCAAAAGTGTTGGGGACTTTCACAAGGAGTGGACTGAGGCTGGAGTCAGTGCATCAAGAGCCACCACACACAGACGGATCCTGGACATGGGCTTCAAATGTCGTATTCCTTTTGTCAAGCTGCTCCTGAACAACAAACAACGTCAGAAGCGTCTTATCTGGGCTAAAGAAAAACAGACCTGGTCTGTTGCTCAGTGGTCCAAAGTCCTCTTTTCTGATGAGAGTAACTTTTTGCATCTCATTTGGAAACCAAAGACCCAGAGTATAAGGAGGAGAAGAATGGAGAGGCACACACTGCAAGATGCTTGAAGTCCAGTGTGAAGTTTCCACAGTCTGTGTTGATTTGGGGAGTCATGTCATCTGCTGGTGTTGGTCCACTGTGCTTCATTAATTCCAGGGTCAACGCAGCCGTCCTACCAGGAGATTTTGGAGCACTTCATGCTTCCTTCCGCAGACGAGCTTTATGGGGATGCTGACTTCATTTTTCCAGCAGGACTTGGCACCTGCCCACACTGCCAAAAGCACCAAAACCTGGTTCAATGACCGTGGGATTACTGTGCTTGATTGGCCAGCAAACTCGCCTGACCTGAACCCCATAGAGAATCTATGGGGCATTGCCAAGAGAAAGATGAGAGACATGAGACCGAACAATGCAGAAGAGTTGAAAGGCCGCTATTGAAGCATCCTGGTCTTCCATAACACCTCAGCAGTGCCACAGGCTGATAGCTTCCATGCCACGCCGCATTGAGGCAGTAATTGCTGCAAAAGGGGGCCCAAACCAAGTACTGAGTACATATGCATGCTTCTACTTTTCAGAGGTCCGATATTGTTCTATGTACAATCCTTGTTTTATTGATTGCATGTAATATTCTCATTTTCTGAGATTGTGGATTTGGGGTTTTCATGAGCTGTAAGCCATAATCATCACAATGATGACAAATCACGGCTTGAACTATCTTGCTTTGCATGTAATGAGTCTATCTCATATATTAGTTTCACCTTTTAAGTTGCATTACTGAAATAAATGAACTTTTGCACAATATTCAATTTTTTTGAGTTTCACCTGTATATATGTGTGTGTTGTATATACAGTATATATAAATTTGTATGTTTTATGGTTTATTTAGATAACAGTGCTGCTATTAATTTTTGTCACCAATGCAGCATATTTGGATACAGATTTTCAGTGTTGAGAGCAGATGTGAAGCCCTAAGTCCTTTCCAGCAATCCCTAACATTTTAACTGATTCTGTTTTAAGGGGTATACTGTGTGCCCTTTTTGTTTCTTCTTTTTTTTTTAATCCATTTTTATTAATTATTTTTGATAGTTATTTTTTCTTTATTATTTGTTTTCTATGAGTTTGGTGTCATGTCTCTGTGCACAGTTTTTTTTTTTCTTTTAAATTGGCATTAAACCTAAAACCAAAAACATTTTAACATTTTATATTGCAACTTACTCAGTGTGTAGATGTGGTGGCTGCATTAGTTTAGGTTTTTTTTTTCTCTTCATTTTCTCCTGGTAGCAGTTACAGGGTTGAGACAACCCAAACACTGGCAGGAGTGCTTACAATGGTCAGCTTTTATTCATTTATATAAAACATTTGTCCCAAAAGGAAAAAAAAAAAAAAAAAAGAAGGTTAGCCAGCACCAGTCCTCCCCCCCCCTCCCCCCCAGCTTCCCCCAAAAGCTCCTATCCCAGCAAGTCAAGCCATCTCTCCCTCAAGCACAAATCTTTATTCCCCCTTCCCTCCTCCCAGGTCACTATGTCCCCCAGTACAGGTTCCCTCTCTGAACATACAGAGTTCAGAAACCAGCCACAGGGTCAGAAGTAAAAACAAAGAGTGCAGGTGTTAGGGCATTATAACTCACAAAGTGCAGGGGTCAGGAGAGTGTAAAATTCCCCCACAAGCAGTAATCTCCCCCACTTTCCCATCTAAGCAAAAATCCCCCTCCCCACAAAACATACCCAACACTAATATGCACACCTTACTCACCCAGTCCAAATTATTTTGACCCAATTGTCCCACCCATCACAAATCCTCTCCCCTTCCTAACACAAATTCTCTCCCCCCCACATAATCCCCCATCCCAGCACAAATCATATTCCCCCTCCCAGCACAAATACCCCCCCCCCCCAGCATAAATCTTCACCCTCAATCCTCTCCCCAAAAAAAAACCTTCCTTACAGAGGAAATCCCCTTCCACCAATCCCCCTCCCCACACTAGTCCCCCCCCCCCCCCTACACACACACAGACACACAAAACTCTTCCAAACATAAATCCTCCCCCCTCCATAATGCACCCTCCCAGCACAAATCCTTTGCGCTCTGAAATGCACCCCCCAGCACAAATCCTCTGCCTTCCAAAATGCACCCCCCATCACAAATCCTCTGCCCTCTAAAAAATGCACCCCCCAGTCCAAATACTCTTCCTTTCTTAAAGCACCCTCCCGGCACAAATCCTCACCCTTCCTAAAACCTCCTTCCCCAAAATTCCTTATCCAGTGCAAATTATTTGCCCCCTTCTGAAATCCTTCTTCCCAGCACAAATCCACTGCCTCTCCTCCTGAAAATCCTCCCCTCCCCAGCACAAATCTGCATTCCCACTGCACAAAATTCTGCCCCAGGCACAAATTTCTGCACCCCAAAATGGCCACCTCCCCTTCCTAACACATATGCTCTCATCCCCAGTGCAAATATATTCCCTTCCAGTAGAAATTCTCCATCCTTCCTCCAATTGCCCCCTCCCAGCACAAATCGTTATCCGCCAAAAACTCCTTTGTCCCAGTTTAAATCCTTACCCCTCAATCCCCCTTTGAGCACAACTACTTTCCACAAAAAAATTCCTCCTTCCACTAATATATATCTTCCCAACCAAAATCCTTCGAATTCCTCCCAGCAATAAGCCCCGGTTTCTCACTCAACCTACCTTCCCAGAACAAATCATTACCCCCCCCCCCCATCCCCCAGTCTACCCGGGTCAAATGCATATTCCCCCATCCCATCATTGTGGCCTAGAGCATGGGTTGTCAAACTGGCGGCTCTCCAGCTATTGCCAAACTACAAGTCCACACATGAGGCATTGCCTAAGATTGACAGTTACATGCATGACTCCCAAAGGCAGAGTGCATGAAAAGCTGGAAAAGTCTTCAATAGTTTGAGTGCATATTTTCTACACCTCGTCTGTACACTGGGGTATAGGTGACCCCCCCCCCCCTCATGGTCATTGTGTCCCCAGTTCCACCTCTCTCCCTGAACTAAAGGAGAATATACAATCATCAGGGTTTTTTTGTGGGGTTCAACTGTGGGTGTGAACATTAAAAAAAAAAGGAAGATCCTGCATCCACACACAAGCAACATTGATGCCAGCAATCTTTACCTGATGTATTTTGTATTCTGACAATAATGGGGGCTCCCCCCATTCATACTTTCTTTCATTCAACCCAGATGAGGATCATCAAGCAGTGGAGGAGAAGGAGGGAATGTAGGGCAATGTGTTAGTAGCGGGAAGGAGGGCGACTGAGTTCTTTTAATCTCGGGGAGAACATAAAAGCTTGGAGTTGGGTTTCCAAATTATATATACTTTAGTGCTATTAACCACTTGCCTTCGGGGCACTTATTGTACCCCCTTCCTGACCAGGCCAGTTTGTTCAAAAGCGAAGGTCTCACACTTTGAGATGACAATTGCATTGCGGTCATGGCAACACTGTACCCATATGACATTTTTATCATTTTTTTTTTTTTAGACAGAACTTTCTTTTGGTGGTATTTAACCCCCTCTGATTTTTTTATTTTTTGCTAAGCAAAACCAAAAAACAAATGAAAATTTTGAAAAAAAAAAATTTCTTAGTTTTTGTTTTAAAATTTTGTAAATAAGTGATTTTTTTTCTTTACTGATGTGCGCTAATGAGGCTGCAGTGATGGGCACTGATAGGTTGGCACTGATGGCACTGATGATGAGGCACTGGTAGGTTGGCACTGATGGGCATTGACAGGCATCACTGATGCGCACTGAAAGGCAGCGCTCATATAGGCAGCACTGATAGGTGAAAGCGGCACTGACTGGCACTGTTAGGCGGCACTGATAGGCAGCACTGATGGGCACTGATAGGGTGAACTGATTGGCATAATTGATAGGTGGCACTGACAGGTGACACTGAAAAGGAGCTCAGATGGGACACTGATATATGGCATTGATGTGCACTGGTAGGCACTGATATATGGCCTTGATGTGCACTGGTAGGCACTGATATTTGGCATTGATGTGCACTGATGAGCATTGACAGCTGGACAATGATGGACACTGACAGGTGACTCCCACTGCTGGGGCTACATTGATCATCAGGGCACACTGATTATCAGGGCACTGATGCTCAGTGTACATGTCCTCTCTGAGTAATGCCGATTACCGGCTCTCCTCTCCTCTGTCAGTGTGACAGCTCGAAAGGAGAGAAATGCTAAATAACCGGCATTTCCCTTTTTACATGCGAATCAGCTGTGATTGGACACAGCTGATCACATGACCGAGCCGACATCTTCGGCTCTTTCTGTGATCGGTGATCCATTGAGTGTCCCTCGCGTACGATCGCAATGCTGCGCATTCACGGAGCCGCGCATGCACTGTTAGCGTGTGGTGACGTCATATGACGTCCTCCCAGAACGAGAGAACTGCCTTCCGCCGTCATTACCTTTTATGGCAGGCGGGAGGCAGTTAAAGTTTTAAAATGGGTCTTTCCTGTTTGTGGTCGTTCAACACCCCGTATTACAAGCCCTGGACTCTCCATTTATAAAAAGTGTGAAGGAAAGCCGAATTGTCTTTATAAGCACAGCCATGAAATCTAAATATAAAGCCAATACTTATGTAAGCCGTGTCATGTACCGGGGTGGGCTCCCCAGGATACAGTGAAAGTCACGAACGAGGAAAGCAACACCAACACCCAGCTTTTGCCACAACAGAATTTTACTTAGATGTGGCAAATAAACACAACCACAAATGCTGGGAACATACAATAAAATTTACATACACCCAGCCCAAGGCTGAGACCCTTGTGCTGCACAGCACGGCGCCTTCTGATGGATGAAGGTAGAAGGTTGTAGTAATTTACCTACTGGGGGCACCACTAAGCTGCCACACCTTACCTGTTATTGCCCTAATAGACCAAGAATGTGTATGGGTGTATGGTATGGGCTAGCCTGAGGTGCAGCACAACAGCTTACAATCTTACACAAATCTACAGTATTCCCCCTCCCATAACTGGTCCTGTAGCACGTGCCTGAGTATTCCTTCTGAGCAAAACGAAACAGTCAGGGCTTGAGTTTGTAGGATTTTTCCTCAGCTCTCCAATGTGAATGTCACTTTAAGTTGTGGAGTCCTTCCAATGATCAGTAACAACACTTGTGCCCTGACACAAACAGAGGACCTTAACTAAACTAATAGGCCTGTCCTCAGTCTCAAGGCGCCAACACAGAAATGAGGTGCGTGCACGATCTTACCGACCCGGGTCTGCTTTGCATTCCGCTGTGGTGACTCTGAACAGAACAAATGTCTCTCCAACAAGCATGCGGTCTCACCGTATATGTTGCTTAGTTCCTTGCTCTCCATCAGCTTCCTGGCAGCAATCTCATCAGCATTCCAGGCAGCAATCTCATCAGCTTCCTGGCAGCAATCTCATCAGCTTCACTTAGCTGCAGCTCTGGTAATGGAGGGACGCTTTCACACCTGGATGTTATCAGATTCTCAGCTCACAAGGCCCCTTATTCACCATACTTCAAAAACATGGCTTCTGTTTTTTTTTCTCCCTCTCCTTCCTGTTCTCTCCAACTCTGTGTGCAAAAACCACCCCACCTCTTCATGAAATATACAAATATCTATGCAGTCTGAGGCTGGTTAGAAAAAACAGTGTCATATTGTGGCTAAACCGCACAATGTCAGTCAAAACATTAATTTACTTCCACACAAACAGTGTTCAAACAAACCAATGAGAGCTGTTTCCTCCTCATCTCACACTTACATGAATATAAACCAAGAATGTGCAGTGTACTAACTCCTCATACAAATCATAAAAATGGAATAAAATAATCCTCCAGTAAATCCCTGCAAGATAAATCCACACTACAATAAAAGTCCAACTCCCAAATCACAGAATGTCCAACAAGAGTGTTGTTAACAATCACTTTTCCAGAAGCCGTGGTCAAGATACTCTCCCTGCTCACCTTTAAATTTGACCTAACAATTATAACAGGTCAAATTAGTTTTTCCGGAAGTGAATCCTTTCAAGTGTGCGATGAATCCAGAATTTCTTCACTCAATCAGAACTTCAAAAAGTGTATAAAAAAAACCAAAAGATATATCGTAGTGCAACATCGTTTACATTAAAGCTAATGGTTGATCGTGCACAAACGTATGTGCTCACTGTACAACAAAACACACCATGCTCCACAACAGTGTTGTAAAGTGTTTCACTTCATCCAACACATACAGAAGTGCTTCCCATCACCAATGAGTGTTGCCATGCACGCCCACCTTCTTCCTTGACCTATATATCAAATATAGGTCATAAGCACTATAAACGTTGTAAAGCTTTTGTTTGTCCACTGCTATCCCTTAGTAGCTATTTCTTTGCTACTGGCCCTTTAAGAGACGGATTTCAGCTTCCCACCGGGATGATAAATGCTCAGGGGAAAAAGAGGACAAATCATAGTGCAACCCATAAAAAAGGTTTTCTTAATTAAGCTATTAAAAACCACTCACAAAGTGCAAAACAGTGAACGAATGTAATTCCAATGACACAAATTGTTCCTCGCACCACACTTCTTAGTTTGCGCAAATACCGGAAGTGATGTCACTAGGCTCCACCCACGTGTTACCATCACTAGTCATGTCATTGGAAAGTTCACATATACATTATATTGCCAAAAGTATTGGTTGGCCGGCCTTTACACGCATATGTGAACTGTAATGGCCCCCCCAGTCTTAGTCCGTAGGGTTCAATATTGAGTTGGCCCCCGCCCTTTGCAGCTATAACAGCTTCAACTCTTTCTGGGAAGGCCATCCACAAGGTTTAGGAGGGGTGTCTATGGGAAGGTTTGACCCTTCTTCCAGAAGCACATTTGTGAGGTCAGGCAGTGATGTCGGGGGGGAGGAGGCCTGGCTCACAGTCTGTGCTCTAATTCATCCCAAAGGTGTTCTATGGGGTTGAGGTCAGGACTCTGTGCAGGCCAGTCAAGTTCCTCCACCCCAAACTGGCTCCTCCATGTCTTTATGGACCTTGCTTTGTGCACTGGTGTGCAGTCATGTTGGAACAGGAAGGGGCCATCCCCAAACTGTTCCCACAAAGTTGGGAGCATGAAATTGTCCAAAATGTCTTGGTATGCTGACGCCTTAAGATGTTCCCTTCACTGGAACTAGGGGGCCAAGCCCCAGCCCCAAGCCCTAGAAAACAACCCCACACCATAATCCCTCCCTCCACCAAACTTTACACTTGGCACAATGCAGTCAGGCAAGTACCTTTCTTCTGGCAACAGCCAAATCCAGACACATCCATTGGATTGCCAGACAGAGAAGCGTGATTCATTACTCTAGAGAACACGTCTCCACTGCTCTAGAGTCCAGTCCACCATCAATTTACACAGGTATTTACATACTGTATATATTGTACATTCACATCAGTCCCTGCCTATCTACTATATAAAGTCCCTAACTCACATTCATACATACACATATTAGGGCCAATTTTAGACAGGAGCCAATTGACTTTCCAGCATGTCTTTGGAGTGTGGGAGGAAAACCAGAATAACCGGAGGAAAACCCACGCAGACACAGGGAGAAACATGCAAACTCTAGGTAGGTTTTGCCGTGGTTGGAATTTAAATTAACAACCCTAATGCTGCTAGGTGGAAGGGCTAGCCACTTAGCCACTCTGCTGCCCCAAATGCTAAAGATAAGAAACAAAATTATGAGAATGAATCGGGTCAACATGATGAAATGAAATTCTTCAATGAACAAATGCATCTGAAATGAACATTTCTGTTGTGCACATGTATACTTGTGATACACTATTAGTGACTGGTCTCTGTTCCCAATGAACCCCCGTTTACAACCACACTCTAGTATTTATCCTTTAGCCAACTGCATGTTCACTGACCCACCCAAAGGGTTAAACTGTTACTAAACCTCCAACAGTAGAATCAGTCTGTATATATATGCACTAAAGCATGCTTGTAATACTCACTGTGGAACCTAAGGGGTTAATCCTCAGCATTGTGTATAAGGTCTGTTTGATCCTGTCTTCTTTGATCCTGCCCTTTTTCTACTGTCCCCAATCTATCTGCCTTTGTTAGAACAGCAGTGGCAAGTCTGCACATGCTCAGGTGGGTGTGTATTGCAAGACAGTTTTTTTTTTTCGGGGGGGCATGTGATCAGCACAGGGCCAATCAGTGCTCTCCAGACAGATAGTCACGGGTCATGCAGCCTCATAGAACAATCAGAGGAGAATGAAAACTCCTAACAAGATTAGCTAGTGCTCAGGCGGACACTGATAGAAGTCACAAGACTGCCTCTAACTGTTGATGAGAAAAGGTATTTAGCAGTTATATTTACTAAAAATAATTGCATTTTCCATGTTCTGTATACTGTGGGAGACACAGATATAGTGAATGCAGGGTTCGGGGGAGAACAGATAGTAAAATGCAGGGTCCAGGGGAGACCAGATATAATGAATGCAGGGTCCAGAGACACCAGATATAGTGAAATGCAGGGTCCAAGGAGAGCAGATATAGTGAATGCAGAGACCGGGAGAGCAGATAAAGTGAATGCAGGGTCCAAGGAGAGCAGATATAGTGAATGCAGAGACCGGGGAGACCGGATATAGTGAATGCAGGGTCCGGGGAGACCCAGATATAATGAATTGGCAGGGTCCGGGGAGACCAGATATCATGAATGCAGGGTCCTGGGAGACCGAATATAGTGTGAATGCAGGGTCTGGGGAGATCAGATATAACACGTTGAATGCAGCTCCAAGGGACTCCGGGTTGAGACCAGATATAATGATATGCACACTATAAGGGTCCGGGGAGACTCAGATTAAAATGAGTGCAGGGTCCGGGGAGACCAGATATAGTGAATGTCGAGGGTCCTGGGAGACCGAATATAGTGAATGCAGGTCTGGGGAGATCAGATACTAGATTGAATGCAGGGTCCGGGGAGACCAGATATGAGTGAATGCAAATGGTCTGGGAGACCAGAATATAAAGTGAATGCAGGGTCCGGGGAGGACAAGAATATAGTGAATGCCGGGTCTGGGGAGGGAGGAGCGGATATAGTGAATGCAGTGGTCGCCTGGGAGACCAGATAATAGTAGAATGCAGGGGTCCGGGGAGACCAGATATACTGATAAGCCGGGTCCTAGTGGTTAGGTAACACTTTAAATCCTAGCTTGTACAACTTTTTTATTAGAATGATTATAGTGGAACTGTATGAAGAATGCTTTGCTGAAATCAAGATAGGCTGATGTGTCACAACACCACCCTGGTCACAAATCATTAGTGATAAAATTTTTTTAACAAAATTTCAATCAGATCAGTCTTACATGATCTGCCCTGAGTAAAGCCATGCTGCTTTTGGTCCAGCAAGTTGTGTGTTTTTAAAAGTGATCGGTTTTATCCCTTGATTTTAGGAGGTGATTTTTAGAGTGATGTACTAAGTGGTCTCCAAACTGTGGCCTGGGGGGCATGAGAAGTGTCCCATTTGGTCCTGTATCTGGCCATGGAGAACACTCACTAATTCGTCCATGGACATCAACAATAATGCCACTGACACAACAATGATAGGGCAACATTCCTCCCACTGACCAAAGATGGGGGACTATTCCTCCACTGACACCAATGATGGGGGGCTATTCCTCCCCCTGACCCCAAAGGGTGGGGGGACTATTCCTCCCATGACACCAAAGGGTGGGGGACTATTCCCCCACTGACACCAAAATGGGGCACTATTCCTCCCACTGACACCCAAGGATGGGGGACTATTCCCCCCTGACACCAATTTGGGGGACTATTCCCCCCACTGACACCAATGATGGGGGACTATTCCTCCCATGACACCAAGGGTGGGGGAAATATTCCCCCACTGACACCCAAAGGGTGGGGGGGCTATCCTCCACTGACACCAAAAAAGGGGGCGCTATCCTCCCCCGACACCAATGAGGGGCGCTATTCCTCCCACTGCACCAAAAAAGGGGGGGGGGGATTCCTCCCACTACACCAAGAAGGGGGCGCTATTCCTCCCCCGACACCAATGAGGGGTCGCTATTCCCCCACTGACACCAATGATGGGCGCTGTTCCTCAACAGATAACAATGAGGGGGCACTATTCCACCCCTGACCCAAGGATGGGGCACTTTCCTCCCTTAAAACCCAATAATAGGGCAATTTTCCCCATGACCCCGGGGAGGGGGTCTATTCCCCCCACGACACCAAATGATGGGGCATATTCTTCCACTAACCAATGAGGGGGCATATTCCCCCCACTGACCCCAATGATGGGGCATTTTCCCCTGCCATTGACCCCAATGAGGGGCCTTTCCTTCCACTGACCAATGGGGGGCACTTTCCTTCCACGACCCCAAAATATGGGTACTATTCCTTCCACTGACAAAAAAGGAGGGGGCACATTCCTCCCACTAAACCCCAATGATGGGGACTTTTCCTTTCCATGACACCAAGATGGGGCACTATTCCTCCCAGCACCAAGGTTGGGGCGCTTTTCCCCCACGACCCAAAGAATGGGCGTATTCCTCCCACTGACCCCAATGATGGGTCACTTTCCTCACACAGACACCAAGGAGGGGGGCACTATTCCTCCCACGAACCAATGGGGGCACTTTTCCCCCTTTAAAACCCAAATAGGGGGGCCTTTCCTCCCACTGATACCAATGAGGGGCCCCATTCCCCCCACTGACACCAGAAATGGGCTCTTTTCCCTTGCACTGCCCCACGGGGGGTCTTTTTTTTTTTCACTGACCCCAATGATAGTCACTTTCCTACACAACACCAACCATGCTTGCTTTCCTTATATCAATTTTTGTTTACATGCGGGATTTGGATTTGTTTAAAAATTCACATTGAATCATTTTTTTTCAGGAACTCTATCTTTGTAATGGGTTGGGTTTTAATTTTCCCTTGATTTTTCTAATCTTGTTCTAGGCCATGATGGGAAGTATTAAAAATGGGATTCCCGAAAAAAGCTTTCCAAAGGGGGTGAGATTGCACCTCTAAATTTAAAATTTTTCATATTCAAAAAAATAAACTAAAAATTACCCTAGGGGCAGGCAACACTTTGTTACTTTTCTGTGAGACTGTCACTGTAACATTTCACACAATGACTTAAAAGAAAACATTCTTTTTTGCCAAATTTTGACAAATTATTACATATTTTTTGGAAAAAAAAGGGAAATATAAAAAACATATAACAGGATGAGTGAACTAACCAAAATTTTGGGTTTCCCCGGGAACGTACCCAAACATTTGAATACATCCCCCAAACCCCATGGAGGTCTTGGGAGACGAATGTTGTTTTTGTCCCCTGGACTTTTTCAAGGTCGTTTTCCATTACATTATTATTTTTATTATTTATACGGGATTTATATAGTGAAACGTTAGGGAAAAAAGGGTTTTGGGTAGCGGACACTGCACGGGGGACTTGTCCCAATGAAAAAAAAATATATAAAACGTCTCCCAAAAAGTTTTGGGTACTCTCCAATTCATTAGATTCGGGGCCTCCAATCACCCAATGGCCACAGGTGAAATAAAGTCACACCAAATGCAATGCTTTAAAAACTTGGTGAAGAAATGGGTCGCTCTCGGAGCCAGGACTCCAAGCGTGGCCCGTGATAGGTTCCCACCTGTGCAATAATCCACTTACTTTTCCCTGGCTCTAAATTTTCCCAACGTAATGTTGGGGATATAACAAAGTGGAAGCAACTGGGAAAAACAGAAATCACCCCCAATGGTAGCCAGAACATGACCAGGGGGGATGACACCATGGGGCCCTCGGGCATAGTGGGTATGGGGCCCCCGTGCCTGCCCAAACTCAAAAAAACCTATGAAAAAAAAGGGCCGGGGGGATCTCATGGGGGCCCCCACGACCCCCGGGGCCCTGGGCAGTGCCCGAGTTTCAAATGGTAGTCCCCCCAACATGACAGAGGGGGTCAGCGAAAACTTGGGCCAACCTATGAACCCCAAGACTAAAAGGAGCCCTTAAAGTTCATGTGCGTGTGAAGGCAGGGGATCCAAAACTTTTGGGAATATGTGTATAAGTCTTAAACCGCATGAAAAAAGGTGCCAACCCAAAAATGACGTATAAAGAAAAAAAAAAAACTGTGCTAAAAGAATTTTCCCGGCTGGTTTTATTCAGGGATCCAGGATACATAATGGTAAGGAATTTCTAAAAAAAAAATGGTTCGCCATACTAAAAAGTATCCTGATGTTAATGATGAAGGTCTGGTATGGATTTTTTGGGGGGCCCATGCAAAAAAATGGGGGGTGTATCCCCCACAAAAAAAAAAAAAAAGCCCCCCCAAAATCCCAACCCGACCCTTTTCCCAGCATGCAGTTTGGTTGGCAGGAAAAAGTGAAGTGGCAGGGGACAACCCCCCCCCCCCCCCCCCCAAATCCATACAAGGTGTGACAGTATGAGGGGGGGCGGACTGATCATTTGGGGAAATCGGACTGCCCCAGGGCACGGGGTCAGTAGGGGGCACCATGAGATGCCCCTGGTACCTTTTTCATAGGCTTTTTTGATTTTTGGGGAAGGACACAGGGGCCCCATGATCCCCCTTTTCCCGGGGGCCCCCCCGAGTTGTCATCCCCCCCCTGGTACGAGGTTCTGCACTAGTTAGGGTAGGTTCACTTGTCGGTGGTGCTGCTCGATCTGCAGAAAATCCCTGCGCGCACCCCCCCACGAGGGAAAGCGGCTGCGGGCGGGGGCCAAGTTCTGATGCACCCAAAAGCCGATGGAAAACGCAACCGTTTGGGGAAGAGGTTCCCGTGTGAGCTGTGTTTTTTAGAAGTGCAGGGACTTCTTTCCCCGCTTTTCACTGGCACGGGAGTCCCTTCAAAAGAATGGGGCCCTCTTCCCCCCCACAAAACGCAGCCCCCAAGGCGCATAAATTGGGAAACCCGGCTAAATGGCCAGCCAATAAAAGGGTTTGCACTTTTGTGAGTGCAGGGAATAGGGGGGGAGGGTTTTTTTAACGGAGAAAACTGCTTTTTGCAGTTTCTCCCGGTTTTGATAGCCTGGTGGGGGTAGTTTGGAATTTCCCTATTTCCTTGGGGGGGAGAATTCTCCAACCTAGTTTTCTGGGTTTTGTGGAGGAACAGCAGGGGGGAGCCCCGGGCCACAGAGCCCTTTTTAAAAGGGGTTTTGGAATACCTCAAGTGTCACGACCTGGGTAGTGAGCCTACGTGAAGAGGCAGGCCTCTCGTACAACTCCGGCTCAAGGACCGCTGATGGTGAACACGGCGAGGACGTGGGGAATATGCCTGTGATCTCCCCGTAAACTGATGGTTGTGGCAGGGAGGGGTTCTGATGTAGCCGTGCTGGGTGGGGGTGGGTCCAAAGCTCTGTGTGAGGGGCAAGGTCAAAGGGGCCAGGTTCGGGATCAGTAGGCAATCAGGGGTTACGCGGCAGGGCACAGGCCAGGTCACAACAGAAGATCAATAACAGAACGGAGACAAAAAAATCCAAGACAACCAAGGTCGGGCAGGAAACAACAAGCGGATCAGGAACAGGCTGGTTTGGGATCAAAAGACAATACGGAATATGAGTAGGAAAAGACCAACGGGGAATGGGCAACTACTGCAGCCAGTTTTAACTTCCCTTTTGGGGCCCAAAACATTAGAAAAGGCGCGAGCCCGAGCCGAGTGTGCATGTGCGCGTGCACGCCAGTGCGCGCCTATGTCCAAGAGCCTGCACATCGTTTGG